AACTGGTTCTTAAACAGAGATCACACAGGAGGTAGAAAAGAATCTGGCAATGTATCCTCAGTCATGAGAGTCAAACACGATTCCCTGACTCCCTCTCAATACCTCCTCTCAAATGGGGGAAGATTATCAGGATTTATTCAAGAGTGGCTAGAACATTATCCACAACAATACTATAAAGGATTTTATCAGATTGTGAGATTCTCCGTAGAGTTGATGTACGTATCCCCATCCATTTTCGTTCAGACACTAAGGAAGAAGTTATTTCTCCTCTTTATTCTGGTAACCTATAATTGCAGGGTGGAGATGAGGGAGAGCTTTTTTTTTCGGTGGTTTGGAAGAAATTAGAAAGAATCAGAGCACTACTAGATCTTAAGTGATTTTAAATGGATGTACCATTTTTGCGGGCTTCTATAGGGAAACATTATTCATATGAACGGTAATAATACTAGGGGACTTCACAGATCTAGTAAAAGTTATCTGGAGGTTTCAGTTAATCCCTGTCTCCAGTAATGTCTTACATTTTCTTTTTTTAAACCCACAGTTTTAATACAAAACACCACCATTTGGCCTATAAACAACTTGCAGAGAATATATGAAAATAATACTCATGCTGGTTATTGTTTGAGATCACAAGGAATTTGTCTGCAATACTATTCCTGGATGACATTCTTGTCAGAGCAGCTTCAAAGGAAGCAAGCAAAATTGAGATTACTATAAATACACAGTGGAAGTATAGTTCAATAATAAACTTAAAGAAGAACAATCTAATTTCAGCGAAGTGTATACCTGGGTATAGTTGGGATTGATAATAGAGACTAGGCTACAGAGAGTCTTTCTACTTGAGAACTTTTTTTTTAAGCTATAGAATTAATCTGATCAGGACTGAGTAACTCAGGGCTGTTCTAAATTACACCCAGTTTAAATAGCTCCCAAAGGGCCATTCCACAGCTGTAAATACCAGAGTACATCATCACTTTGGCTATGTCCCATGACCTGGCAGGCCCCACCACATCACTTTTGCTAGAGCTGTGAGGGGTGGGTTAGGACTGGCTACACATCTCCACACCCAGGAATTTAGCCATGCTTCGGAGAACCCCCATGTATCCATTTAAGTCAGTTACAAGGGTTGTTGGTGCTGCCAGAGTGTCACAAATGTTTATATTTGGATCAGGATCTGGTTCTGGTTCCCTCCGCCTAAAGCTCTAGTATCAAAATTTTATAGCAAGTTCTCATTACTTACTTATTTCACTTTTTAGAATGATATATTGGTTAAGCTACTGTTGTCAAGTCAACAAAACATATTTTGTGATGGGTTATCCTTGGTTCTAACTAGGGATGTAAATATCGTTAAAAAAGTTAAACAGTTTAAATGATTTAAAATGTTGTTTAAACGGCTAACTGTTTAAGTGACTGGGGCCCATCTGGCTGGCACGGCTGGGGCTGGGCCTGCTCCGGCCGGGTACCACGGCTGAGCCCGCTCCGGCTGGTGCGGGGGTTAACAGTTAGGGCAATTAACCGGTAAGACTATGCTTACCAGTTAACCTTTTACAGCCCTAGTTCTAACTGTTTTTTGTTTGTTTATTTGGTAATTCAGAAAATTTAAGCAATTCACAACTGGTTGCCCTGTCATTAGTGTTGAGTTTGAAACATGTACAAAATACACAAGCAATCAGTTGATTTATTAGTACCTAAGATAAACATAATTTAAAGAATATGAAACACAAATAAGTCACAGATATTGCTTGTCTTGTTACTGGTTCCATCTTTAGTTTCTTGAAATTAATTTTGCTTATTGTTTATAAGGCAAAGTCTTGTGATTTAATAAAATATGGTAGAAAGAAGTAGTAGTGAGGCAAGATAGCACAAGTCAGAACAAGACTCAAAAATCAAACCGGACAGGACCAAGAAGTATGGAAAAGTTCAGGGCAATTATACTCTTCCTCACTCTCATTATTTCATTCATCCAATCTGAATTTGGATTGCAGTTTGGTGTGGGTACGAGACATCACATTCATGTTCTGTCTTTCTGTTCTGGAATCAGTCTACATACATCTCCTGAATTGTTGCCAAATGTGGTTGTGACCAGAGTGACTCTTACAATTAAGATGGCAAAAAGTTCTAACTCCCTGATTTCACGTATTCATAATTTTGCAAAGCATTCACCTTTTCACTGAAACTTTTCTTGCTTGATTTTGAAGCATAATTTATTTTTGAAACTTTGAGCAAAATCCTTTTAATCATATTGGAATTATGGGTATGTCTACACTACGGAATAAGGTCGAATTTATAGAAGTCGTTTTTTTAGAAATCGGTTTTATATATTCGAGTGTGTGTGTCCTCACAGAAAATGCTCTAAGTGCATTAAGTGCATTAACTCGGCAGAGTGCTTCCACAGTACCGAGGCTAGAGTTGACTTCCGGAGCGTTGCACTGTGGATAGCTATCCCACAGTTCCCACAGTCTCCGCTGCCCATTGGAATTCTCGGTTCAGATCCCAATGCCTGATGGGGCTAAAATATTGTCGCGGGTGGTTCTGGGTACATATCGTCAGGCCCCCCTTCCCTCCCTCCCTCCGTGAAAGCAAGGGCAGACAATCGTTTCGTGCATTTTTCCTGAGTTACCTGTGCAGACACCATACCACGGCAAGCATGGAGCCCGCTCAGGTAACCGTCACCGTATGTCTCCTGGGTGCTGGCAGACGCGGTACGGCATTGCTACACAGTAGCAGCAACCCATTGCCTTCTGGCAGCAGACGGTGCAGTACGACTGGTAGCCGTCCTCGTCGTGTCCGAGGTGCTCCTGGCCACGTCGGCTGGGAGCGCCTGGGCAGACATGGGCGCAGGGACTAAATTTGGAGTGACTTGACCAGGTCATTCTCTTTAGTCCTGCAGTCAGTCCTATTGAACCGTCTTATGGTGAGCAGGCAGGCGATACGGATTGCTAGCAGTCGTACTGTACCATCTTCTGCCGGGCAGGCAAGAGATGAGGATGGCTAGCAGTCGTATTGTACCATCTTCTGCCAGGCAGGCAAGAGATGAGGATGGCTAGCAGTCGTACTGTACCATCTTCTGCCGAGCAGCCATGAGATGTGGATGGCATGCAGTCCTTCTGCACCGTCTGCTGCCAGCCAAAGATGTAAAAGATAGATGGAGTGGATCAAAACAAGAAATAGACCAGATTTGTTTTGTACTCATTTGCTTCCCCCCTTCCCCTGTCTAGGGGACTCATTCCTCTAGGTCACACTGCAGTCACTCACAGAGAAGGTGCAGCGAGGTAAATCTAGCCATGTATCAATCAGAGGCCAGGCTAACCTCCTTGTTCCAATAAGAACAATAACTTAGGTGCACCATTTCTTATTGGAACCCTCCGTGAAGTCCTGCCTGAAATACTCTTTGATGTAAAGCCACCCCCTTTGTAGATTTTAGCTCCCTGAAGCCAACCCTGTAAGCTGTGTTGTCAGTCGCCCCTCCCTCCATCAGAGCAACGGCAGACAATCGTTCCGCGCCTTTTTTCTGTGTGGACGCCGTACCAAGGCAAGCATGGAGGCCGCTCAGCTCACTTTGGCAATTAGGAGCACATTAAACACCCCACGCATTATCCAGCAGTATATGCAGCACCAGAACCTGGCAAAGCGATACCGGGCGAGGAGGCGACGTCAGCGCGGTCAAGTGAGTGATCAGGACATGGACACAGATTTCTCTGAAAGCATGGGCCCTGCCAATGCATGCATCATGGTGCTAATGGGGCACATGCATGCTGTGGAATGCCGATTCTGGGCTCGGGAAACAAGCACAGACTGATGGGACCGCACAGTGTTGCAGGTCTGGGACGATTCCCAGTGGCTGCGAAACTTTCGCATGCGTAAGGGCACTTGCATGGAACTTTGTGACTTGCTTTCCCCTGCCCTGAGGCGCATGAATACCAAGATGAGAACAGCCCTCACAGCTGAGAAGCGAGTGGCGATAGCCCTGTGGAAGCTTGCAACGCCAGACAGCTACCGGTTAGTTGGGAATCAATTTGGAGTGGGCAAATCTACTGTTGGGGCTGCTGTGATGCAAGTAGCCCACACAATCAAAGATCTGCTGATATCAAGGGTAGTGACCCTGGGAAATGTGCAGGTCATAGTGGATGGCTTTGCTGCAATGGATTCCCTAACTGTGGTGGGGCCATAGACGGAACCCATATCCCTATCTTGGCACCGGAGCACCAAGCCGCTGAGTACATAAACCACAAGGGGTACTTTTCAATAGTGCTGCAAGCTCTGGTGGATCACAAGGGACGTTTCACCAACATCAACGTGGGATGGCCGGGAAAGGTGCATGATGCTCGCATCTTCAGGAACTCTGGTCTGTTTCAAAAGCTGCAGGAAGGGACTTTATTCCCAGACCAGAAAATAACTGTTGGGGATGTTGAAATGCCTATATGTATCCTTGGGAACCCAGCCTACCCCTTAATGCCATGGCTCATGAAGCCATACACAGGCAGCCTGGACAGTAGTCAGGAGCTGTTCAACTACAGGCTGAGCAAGTGCAGAATGGTGGTAGAATGTGCATTTGGATGTTTAAAGGCGCGCTGGCGCAGTTTACTGACTCGCTTAGACCTCACCGAAACCAATATTCCCACTGTTATTACTGCTTGCTGTGTGCTCCACAATATCTGTGAGAGGAAGGGGGAGACGTTTATGGCGGGGTGGGAGGTTGAGGCAAATCACCTGGCTGCTGGTTACGCGCAGCCAGACACCAGGGCAGTTAGAAGAGCACAGGAGGGCGTGGTATGCATCAGAGAAGCTTTGAAAACCAGTTTCATGACTGGCCAGGCTACGGTGTGAAAGTTCTGTTTGTTTCTCCTTGATGAAACCCCCCGCCCCTTGGTTCACTCTACTTCCCTGTAAGCTAACCACCCTTCCCTCCTCCCTTCGATCACCGCTGGCAGAGGTAATAAAGTCATTGTTGCTTCACATTCATGCATTCTTTATTCATTCATCACACAAAGAGGGGGATGAGTACCAAGGTAGCCCAGGAGGGGTGGTGGAGGAGGGAAGGAAAATGCCACACAGCACTTTAAAAGTTTACAACTTTAAAATTTATTGAATGCCAGCCTTCTTTTTTTTGGGCAGTCCTCTCTGGCGGAGTGGCTGGTTGGTCAGTGGCCCCCCCACCGCGTTCTTGGGCATCTGGGTGTGGAGGCTATGGAACTTGGGGAGGAGGGCGGTTGGTTACACATGGGCTGTAGTGGCAGTCTGTGCTCCAGCTACCTTTGCTGCAGCTCAACCATACACTGGAGCATACTGGTTTGGTCCTCCAGCAGCCTCAACATTGAATCCTGCCTCCTCTCATCACGCTACCGCCACATTTGAACTTCAGCCCTGTCTTCAGCCCGCCATTTACTCTCTTCAGCCCTCCACCTCTCCTCCCGGTCATTTTGTGCTTTCCTGCACTCTGACATATTTGCCTCCACGCATTTGTCTGTGCTCTGTCAGTGTGGGAGGACAGCATGAGCTCGGAGAACATTTCATTTCGAGTGCGTTTTTTTTCTTTCTAAGCTTCATTAGCCTCTGGGAAGGAGAAGATCCTGTGATCATTGAAACACATGCAGCTGGTGGAGAAAAAAAAAGGGACAGCAGTATTTAAAAAGACACACTTTATAAAACAGTGGCTACACTCTTTCAGGGTAAACCTTGCTGTTAACATTACATACATAGCACATGTGCTTTCGTTACTAGGTCACATTTTGCCTCCCCCCACCGCGTGGCTACCCCCTCAACCCTCCCTCCTCCCTGTGGCTAACAGCGGGGAACATTTCTGTTTAGCCACAGGCAAACAGCCCAGCAGGAATGGGCTCCTCTGAGCGTCCCCTGAAGAAAAGCACTCTATTTCAACCAGGTGACCATGAATTATATCTCACTCTCCTGAGGATAACACAGAGAGATAAAGAACGTATGTTGTTTGAATGCCAGCAAACATACACTGCAATGCTTTGTTGTACAATGATTCCCGAATACGTGTTACTGGCCTGGAGTGGTAAAGTGTCCTACCATGAAGGACGCAATATGGCTGCCCTCCCCAGAAACCTTTTGCAGAGGCTTTGGGAGTACATCCAGGAGAGCCGCGAATGCCAGGGCAAAGTAATCCTTTCACATGCTTGCTTTTAAACCATGTATAGTATTTTAAAAGGTACACTCACCGGAGGTCCCTTCTCTGCCTGCTGGGTCCAGGAGGCAGCCTTGGGTGGGTTCGGGGGGTACTGGCTCCAGGTCCAGGGTGAGAAACAGTTCCTGGCTGTCGGGAAAACCAGTTTCTCCGCTTGCTTGCTGTGAGCTATCTACAACCTCATCATCATCATCATCTTCTTCTTCGTCCCCAAAACCTGCTTCTGTATTGCCTTCATCTCCATTGAAGGAGTCAAACAACACGGCTGGGGTAGTGGTGGCTGAACCCCTTAAAATGGCATGCAGCTCATCACAGAAGCGGCATGTTTGGGGCTCTGACCCGGAGCGGCCGTTCGCCTCTCTGGTTTTCTGGTAGGCTTGCCTCAGCTCCTTCAGTTTCACGCGGCACTGCTTTGGGTCCCTGTTATGGCCTCTGTCCTTCATGCCCTGGGAGATTTTGACAAAGGTTTTGGCATTTCGAAAACTGGAACGGAGTTCTGATAGCACGGATTCCTCTCCCCATACAGTGATCAGATCCCGTACCTCCCGTTCGGTCCATGCTGGAGCTCTTTTGCGATTCTGGGACTCCAACATGGTCACCTGTGCTGATGAGCTCTGCATGGTCACCTGCAGCTTGCCACGCTGGCCAAACAGGAAATGAGATTCAAAAGTTCAGGGTTCTTTTCCTGTCTACCTGGCCAGTGCATCTGAGTTGAGAGTGCTGTCCAGAGCGGTCACAATGGAGCACTCTGGGATAGCTCCCGGAGGCCAATACCGTCGAATTGTGTCCACAGTACCCCAAATTTGAGCCGGCAAGGCCGATTTAAGCGCTAATCCACTTGTCAGGGGTGGAGTAAGGAAATCGATTTTAAGAGCCCTTTAAGTCGAAATAAAGGGCTTCATCGTGTGGACGGGTGCAGGTTTACATCGATTTAATGCTGCTATATTCGACCTAAAGTCCTAGTGCAGACCAGGGCTATGAAAGGATTTAAAAAAAATGTTTTTCTGAATTAAAAAAAAAATCCTGACAATTTTCATTCTGATAGGATAAATAAAAATGATTAACTTTGAAATGTCAAACTTAATAGGTAAATTCATGGTGTGTACTTTGCTTTGATCTTTTTAAATTAGTTGTCAAACATTCCATCTGTGCCAGTACCTCTTTTAACAATGTAGATTTGATGGGAGAGGCTGCAAAGTTATGCCTCAGCACCTTGAGGCATCCTTCATCCTGATCAGTGTACTGCTATAATCAACCCATGTTTAAGTTTGGTGCTTTAACACATTGATTTGATGGTGCTTAGCACCTTGAGTGAGGCATTGCCAGATGCCCAGGTTGATCTGTCATAGAAGATACTCCACAATTCCAGACTCTGTCAGCTTTGCCCTTGGCTTCAGGTAACAACTGCAAGAGGTTTCCAGTTTCTTGTTGGGCCCACATGTTCTGGAGGAGGAATGCAGAGGGGGACAAGAACAGGACTGGGCGAAGAAGTGGTGGGGAGACTAGATTGGGATAAGGAGCCTGGGAGAGGAAGGTTAGGAGCTGGCTGTACGAGGGGACTGGCTTGTCAAGAAGACTGGGACCCCAGAGTGGAAACAGAGCTGCCGGGGACGGTAAGACTGAGATCTGATGAAGAGCTGTGAGGGAATGGGGCAGGAGACTGGGACCAGGAGCCTGAGGAGGGAGTCTCCGACTAGGAACAGTGTGGGGTGGATGAGAGACTGAGATGGGATGAGAAGGCTGGTGGGAGGACTGGGGCTCGCTGGTCAGGGAGACTCTGATGAGGAGTTTATGGAGGAAAAGTAGGACTGGGAGCTAGGATAGTGGGGAAGACTGGGACTCAGATGGGCAATAAGACTGACTGGGATGAAGAGTCCAGAGAAATTGAGATTGGGACTGTCTACATGAATAGGCTGGAATTAGGAGTTGGTTTGGGGCTGGGGGAAGACGGGGCTGAGGCAGGGACAGGCTGGAAGGAATGAGAGTACAAGGGATCAGGCTTGAGGGGAACGTGCAAAAGAGTCTGTAACCATTTAAATTATTTTCCCCATAGAAACATTAATGAACCAGAGAGTCTTCAGTCTCAACATTTGTGTTATCAGCAAATATCTGTGGAATCCCCAGCAAAGCATGTGACTCTTCCCCTCTGGTGGCTGTTCCACATAGAGGATGAGAAACTGCTACTGTTGTCAGTTACTCCATTAGTTCATGTGACGAAGTCTGTGGGGTGGCTTTGAAGGTTACAGCCATGATGATGGCCTATCTGGGTGTCAATGCCACATGATATAATTTGTTTTTTCAGTTTGCTGTTCTAAAACCCAAGGAAATTGTGCATGCGCGCACACACACCCCTCCATTAAAAGAATAGTTTTAAAGTGGCAGAAAATGCCAGAACTGTGGTTGCCTGTGGAGCGTTAACATGGCTCCCTTAAGGCTGCATGAGTGACCTCAATTCTGACATTTTCTAACTTTTGAGTACTTGACTTTGCAACCTTAACATTCTTTTTATGTAGGTTTTTTTTCTGTGTAATTACTAATTACATTGTGCAATCTTAATATATGCATATGGATTCAATATGACTTTGTAAGTGTGTGGCCTGATCCTTTGTTTCCTTATGCAAATTTTTTACTTTGTATCATTCTGTTTTACCATTTGAGTTATGTAGTGAGAAAAAGGGTTCAGAGAAATTATTAAACCCACTTTGTTAGTGGTGCTCAGGTCAGTTTGGTTTGAAACAGCAGCAGCATAGCAGGTAAAGTTAGGGTGCCACCGGGAATCAGTGGCATTTATAAGCTCAACAGTTAGACCAAACGGACTCTTGCCACAAAGTCCAATTACATCTACAAATATGAGATATAAAATTAATCCAGAAGCAGTACTCCAAAATGATATGGAAAAGTTTTCGTCTGAAGATTAAAGACTTTTGGTGGGATTTTCAAAAATGGCTAATGGAGTCAGATATTCAATTTCCATTGAAAGTCAGTGAGAACTGGATGCCTAATACCCTCAGACATTTTTGAAAATCCCATCCTATATGGTCATTGCTATATGCCGTGCAGATGAAGTTAATGTATCCTGTAGAGCTAATAGAAAAGGAGGACTTGTGGCACCTTAGAGACTAACAAATTTATTTTTTAAAGAAATTTCTGTGTGCTAAGGACCTCTGGGGCAGAGCCTCAAACTGGGTCTGGACCTGGGTAAGCAGTAGTCAGTAGGCCAAGTAGAGGGTTGGAGCATGGCTGCTCCTGTGAACCCTGCAGACTTGCGTTCAAGGCCTGTGGATCATGACACAGAGGAGACAATCAGCAAGATTCGCACTTGAATCAACCAAAGCTTCAGGAGCACTTCCCATTAGACTGGCTTTCCAAATGGCAAGTCTCATAGTCTCCTGCACAGGATTACTTCCTGAAATCAGTTTGCATATGAGGAAACTGATGAGGTTTATGCTCCAGGTCTAGAATTACTCTCCAGATGTAATGAACGGGAGGGTGTGGGTTCCCAACAGTTTGATATTCCATTAAATGGTAGTTCTCGAAATCCAGTCTGACTTTAAAGACAGAATTCACTATTCCAAATAAAAAATTACCAAAATGATGTGATCAGGAACACCTTATAGCTGAGGGAACCTGGTCCAGCTCAGATAGGAAACAAATACATTTCTTAGCATTGAGGACAGCCCTTCTGGCCTTTCAGAATACAGTAGAAACTCAGAGTTACGACCACCTCCGGAATGGTGGTTGTTCATAACTCTGAACAAAATGTTATAGTTCTTTCAAATATTTACAACTGAACATTGACTTAATACAGCTTTGAAACTTTACTATGGAGAAGAAAAATGCTGCTTTCCCTTTTTTTGAGTAGTTTAACTATATACTGTATTTGGTTGATTTTTTTGTTTGTTTTTGTCTCTGCTGCTGCCTAATTGCGTACTTCCAGTTCCAAATGAGGTGTGTGGTTGACTGATCAGTTTGCAACTCTAGGTTCAACTGTAGGATACGAAGCATTTATATTCTGTTCATGGCATAAAAGGAGGATGAGTCTTTGAGGATCAGGAATCATATCTTGATCTTTCTTGGATGGGACCTGAATCTTGTGATTTAGGCATATACTGCTCTTCCTGTTGAGCCCTAGAATTCAATAGATCCATGCTTTTCTTTGTAACAAAATCTGCTTCACAGTCATCAGCACCTCTGCTAGTAGAATATGTGAAGAACAGTACCCTGTGTATTACATGATGAAAAGATAATACTCCCTGGCTTAATATTCAAGGTCCTTTCCTCCTTGCAAAGAATATGTCTTCCCTCCATGTTGCCCAGATCCAAAACATCTGCAATGGACACATTCTTTGGTAGAGAAAATCTGCCGAGTTGCAGTTTGGGCCTCATTTACGTTTGAGACACTGCAAACTGAATTTCCAAGCCTTTGCATATGTATCCTGTGCGAAGAGAGTGCTCTGGCCAGTAGACCCAGATGATGGACCAGATTCTGCATTCCAGTGAGTTGTGCTTAAGGGAGACAGGTGGAGTAAGGGGCACCTTTTGGTCGTCCTCTATATTTGGATCAGGTACCTGCTTCACCCTCAAGTAATTTAGAGCAGTAATTAAACTTCCTATCTAAATTCTGTCCTCATTTGGCAACAGTGACAGATCTCATAGATCAACATTCAAGGCAGAATGTGGGATGAGACTGGTCAATGCCAAAACAGCAAGCATTTGAAAGAAAGCAAAAACTTATTACAGATGCCCTAAGTTAAAATACTACCGGCTTGGAGAACGAATGACACTACAATGTGATGCAGCCAAGAAGGGATTAAGGGTAGCTGTGTTGCAGAAGTGCCGATTGCATACACCAGTAGAGTTTTGGTAGAAACTGCAGAAGGGTACATCCAATTAGAAAAAGAATGATTGGCTGCGGTATTGGGGTGGAGTGATTCTACCAATATGGTCACCCTGTAAAATAATACAATCAGACCACAAACCACTGGAGACAGTGATGTTTAAGCCTTTCCTTAGTGATTCCAAAAGGTTGTAGTGCATATTGATGTGGCTCCAGCTTTACTAAGTAGAGCTCAGATACTATCTAGGCTGTTTGCTAGTGTCGTTTGGCACAGTGAGGCAGAAACTTGTGCCAGGCATTGGGGAGATGCTAGCACTGGGAGACAGTGCAAGATGATTCGGATGCTGTCCATCAATATGATGCACTGTCTCACATAATTTGCATAACTGAGCATGTGAGAAGTGCTATAAACATATGTTTAATTGCTTTACTTTATAAGGGCCAAAGTGCCCAAAGTCTTGTTGGATTGAGCTCTAACTCATTGTGGTTGTGGCATTGAAACTGTCCCAGATATATAGACTGAGACAAAGGGCTGGTGGGGATAGGAGAATACCCCTTTATGGTTCCCTTCTCATCTGCTGGGCAGTGGCAGCAGGGCAGTCTGGGAACACCAGGACCAATGCTGCTCCCACTCCCCCAAACACTACATGAAGCAGAAGCCCCTCTTTCCATGAGTGGAGCCAGCCCTCTGGCACCCAAGTCTTTAGCTGTTGGAGTAGCCAGCATGTTTCCACTACACCCATGATCAGTGATGAGCTGCCAAAATCTTAACAACCGGTTCCCTCCTCACCCCAGGAGAAGGTCGTTGCCCACCCCTGCCCCCGGGACTCCTGCCCCATCCAACCCCCCGCGTTCCTTGACACCTCCCCCAGGACCCCTGCCCCATCTACCTCTGTCCCCTGACTGCCCCCAGAACTGGGCAGGAGGGTCTCGTGGACCACCGTAGTGGGTGCCCACACCACCCCTAAGAGCCAGAGGGACCTGCCGGGGAACGAGGTGGGGAGTCCTGGCATTGTTTACCTGGGGCAGCTCCCAGGAAGCATCCGGCAGGTCCCTCTGCCTCCTAGGGGCGGGGGAGCATAGCTAGGGGGGGGAGCAGAGGGAGCGGCCGCTCCCCCCACTGATTACATCAAAAGTGGTGCCTTAGGCACTGACTCTGGAAAATTTGGTAGGTGCAGAGCACCCACCGGCAGCTCCCCGCTCCGCGCCCGGCCCCCAGCTCACCTCACCTCCGCCTCCGCCCCTGAATGCACCGCCCCGCTCTCCTTCTCCGTGCCCTCCCCCCCCCCCCCGGCTTCCCGTGAATCAGCTGTTCGGCGGGAAGCCTGGGAGGGCTGAGAAGCAGGTGGTGGCTTCCCACTCAGGCCGAGGGTGGCGGAGGTGAGCTGGGGTGCGGAGCGGTTCCCCTGCGCCGCACCCCACCCCAGGTTACCTGCTGCGGTGCGGGCGGTCCTCCTCACGCCCCCCTCGCCCCCGCTCACCTCCGACTCCCTGGGCCTGAGTGCGAAGCCGCCTCCTGCTTCTCAGCCCGCCCTGGCTTCCCGCGTGAACAGCTGATTCGCGGGAAGCCTGTGGGGGCAGAGAAGCAGAGCGGGGTGGTGCATTCAGGGGAAGAGGTGGAGCTGAGGTGAGCTGGGGCCGGGGGTGGGCGGGGCGGGGAGCTGCTGGTGGGTGCTCTGCACCCACCAAATTTTCCCCTTGGGTGCTCCAGGGCTGGAGCACCCATGGAGTCGGCGCCTAAGGGGCCACTTTTGGCCGGTTAAATTTAGAAACCCTTTTAGAACCAGTTGCCCCTCGCGGAACAACCGGTTCTAAAAGGGCTTCTAAATTTAACAACCGGTTCTAGTGAATCGGTGCGAACCAGCTCCAGCTCACCACTGCCCACGATCCCCTCTAGTATTAGGGCTGTGTTTTATTCTTTTTCCTCATCTCTTTGACAGAATGGGGACTTTTGCGGAGGGAGAAGGAGTTTTCAGGCAAGGAAGTGTGGGAAGGATAAAGGGTGAGATTGAGTTGAGAAAAGATGAGATGTGAAAGAAATAGGGGATAGTCCTGCCAGGATATTAGAGGCTTTGAAAAGAAATGTTAAAAGAGTTACTAAAATAGTTTGAGTTTGTAAATGAAAGTTGAGTAAAGAACTAATATAATAGTTAGGAAGAGGGGTGATTAAGGTTAATAGATAATCTGTAACATGTTTTTTCTCTCTATAGACTTCAAGGTCCTGGGACAGGCACTGTGTCTGTGTGTTGTTTTGGTATGAATAATAAATATAATACTTATTTGAAAACAATAATGAAACTAACCATACATTGGTCAGTTAGATCCAGTGGAAACAAAACGCATAGAATCAGTTTATATTAATTTTAAGTATTGTATACATTAAAAACAAATGAAATCATACTAATGTAAGACTAACATAATGAAAAGGAGTACTTGTGGCACCTTAGAGACTAACCACTTTATTTGAGCACAAGCTTTCGTGAGCTACAGCTCACTTCATCGGATGCATACTGTGGAAAGTACAGAAGACCTTTTTATACACACAAACCATGAAAAAATGTGTAGTGGTAAACACCCATTTTTTCATGGTTTGTGTGTATAAAAAGGTCTTCTGTACTTTCCACAGTATGCATCCGATGAAGTGAGCTGTAGCTCACGAAAGCTTGTGCTCAAATAAATTGGTTAGTCTCTAAGGTGCCACAAGTACTCCTTTTCTTTTTGCGAATACAGACTAACACGGCTGTTACTCTGAAACTAACATAATGGAAATTCAGCCAGTGAGTCAAATTCCCCCAAGTCTAAAGTCTTTCGTGCCTCAAAATGCAACAGCTGGAGACAGCTGTCTTGATTCTTTTAATTTCCTAGGTTAGAAAAAAATGATTCAAGGATTTCAGCTAAAATCATAAAATTACAGTGATTACATCTACATTTTTGTTTCTGTTTTTAAGAAATACCACACAAAATCTTTCTTTTTTTTTTTACAGTGATTTGTTATCCTCCGATTATGTGGAGATTCACTATGAAGACGGAAAACCACAATTTTCGAAGGTACATATATATATTAAATAACAGAGACTTATTCCCCTCTCCCCCATACAATGATAATGCAGTAAAACACAAACTTTCTTTGTTTTTTACAATATTTATCAAATACCAGAAGGCATTTACCACATATCTCAAGGAATTGTGATCTTGTCTAGCTGATGAAGATTCTTCAGCAGATGACTGGAGCAAAGTTGTAAAAAGTGTGGGCAGTTAGCCACAAACGAAAGTGCCAAAGATGAAAGCTACACTTTCTAAAGTATAATTTTTTTCAGTTGCTCCCACACCAGAGGTCACCATCACTAAATTCTTCATTAAACATTTACCAGTCCTTCGCATAAAGTGCAAGACTAAGTTGTAATGGAAAGTCAGTAAACAAACTTACAATGGCTTTTCTTTGCAAGAGTTTTTATAAAACCATGAATCAGAAAAATACATACTGAGTGAAATTCACCCCTCTTCAGAATGTCAGCAGAAAGCCTATGCACCACTTAAGTTCTCAAATTAGAGCTAAAGTAGAATTTAAGCAGTGCATAGGCTTTGGACAGAGATAAATTTCACCCTTGAGAGAGAGGATTGCATGACCCTAGTCCTTTGAGGAGATGGAGGAACAAAAATAGATAAGTTTTTGTTTGATTTAGATAGCACAAGGGAAGATTACTATATTACTGGGATGTAGAATAGCAGAGAGAAAGGAAGGATATAAAATAAATGTTAAGGCAAGAATGTCTTTGTTTAAGTTAACTGAACTCTTAGACTTTTAAAATAGCTATAAATGTCAGAGTATAGTAGAAGTTGCAAGTCACTATTCATGAAACTTGCCTCTGTTCAGAGGGCCAGAAGGACAGCACAATATGTAAATCTTACTTTTACGCCCTCTAAACCAGGTGAATTTCACCCTTTATGTGGTTGCTATTTGTTTGGTTGCTGTATCTCCATTTGCTTAATCTGACCTCCTCATTGAGGATCTTAATTAGAGTTCAAATATAGTACCTTTTATTCTAATGTATCAATTTATACTCTGTTCCTTGGGAAAAATCATTTCATGCAGAATATCAAGGGAATTGCTTAGTTTTGTTAAGACATTACTCAGGAGAGCAGGCAAAAATGCTAAAGGAAGCAAGAAAACTATTCCTTCTGGCTTTTACACAGACTCAAGCAACTGTCAGCTACAGCACTAGCAATGAGCACTGCGGTTGCTGAATCATGAGTCTAACTGGAGGATTATATTAGAACTTTAGACTCAGCAAATGGGCCACCTTTGCATGCTGCAGTAATTAGAGCCAAACTTTCTGAAGGATATTTTCTGAGTTGATTGACTTAGAAACACTAATAGGGCTCTTGAGGTCACATGATCCACAAGAGGCATAATTAACAAAAGTAAAGGAAATATAGGGATTTTTTAATCTGCTCAGTCTTTTTTAGGTATATTTGACAAATGGCAAGCTGTTTATTTCTTGGTGAATATAGAGAAGTGAAATCTTGATGAAACCATCTCTTTCTAGAACTACAGTGTATAGCTTTATTATAGGGGTGAAAATAACCAGGACCAAATTGTGATCTCCTCACTCCCATGAGTAATCTTATTAAATTTCTTGGAACTACTTGTGTGAGTAAGATAATCACAATTTAGCTCTTAGGAAGAACTGTTTAAATAAGCCCAGTTCCATGAACTCCAGAATACAGGCCAGTGCATAATGCATATATGGGTAACTGTCATGTAACAATGGTTATTTACTTAATTTTGTTAGAGTACATGAACTTAATTGTGCACAGTAAAGGTTGTGCTATACCTGTTCCAGATTCTGAACAGAACATTGCATAAAATAAACAAGATACAAAATGAAATTGCTGCTGATGTTTACAGTTCACTAAAAAGCATTACATGCCTGGTGATTCCTTAGGGTACATAGTAGGTTAGAACAATTGGAAGAAGCAGTGTGACAACACTGTATTTACACTTTTCCCAATAAAACTATTGTAAGCACTTCTTTTCACCTTGATTTTAGCTAGGATTGTTGTTGACAGATATTAAAGGCCAGGTCGTTAACTGATGTAAATCAGCATGAATCCATTGCCTTTAGTGGAACTACTTTGACATGTACTAACTGAGGATCTGTGGCACTGAAAGCTTCTACATTCTTCAGCACTTTCTCTTACATGTTCACTCTCTTTAAAAGTTTAAATTGAGACTCATGTTTTCAGTGTAAGTATATAAGGCCTAAATGGTTTCTAGGTTTGCTCTTGCTGCCAGCCTTCTAATAATAAAAATCAAGTGCCCTGTACTTGTTTACTGAATTGAACTATTCACATGAAATTAAATTCTGCCACCCTTATTCACAATGAACAGTCTCTTAAGCCTCTAGCGGTCCCATCAAAAAATGGCGCACGTGGCTCACATTAATTTAGGGATTAGTAATTTTGCTATTCAGTAATAAGGATAGAATTAGATTTTAAGACTATCAGACTATAAATAAGGGATACAGATTTTGTTCCAGTAATTTGTTGGTATTTTTGCAGTTCCCTAAAGTATAGAATCCATAGGGTATTCTAAAGGTTTTAATTTTTCTTTTCAAAGACTTGACTGCTTACAGTCAAAATTAAATATTTATTAATACTACAGTGCTGCTCTTGTTTCACTGCACACAGAAATTAAATAGAAAGGATTTGGGACAAGGAAAAAGATCATTTATATATTGTCACTGAGACTGTGTTTTTTAACACCAAAGAATATTTTGACAACATTTCTGTCATTTTTTTCCATCTCTGTTGCTGGCTCCCATATTTCCCTCTTGCTTATTATGTTGTTCTGCTTCTCAGTTGGGTTTCTTTTTGTCCCCTGAGTTTATTTGATATTCTCAAACAATCAAAGGTCTTAATTTCTCTCTAAGATTATTCAATTTTGTCTTGCCTTAATTCAGGCCCTGTAAATTTGGGAAGAAACATCTTACATTCTCCCCATCACTGGGCAGCCAAATAAGGGCCAAGTACAATCTGTCCACACATTTTATACGGTATGCCATGGAAGAGGCCTGAGGCCAGTCTTTGAAGAGTGACAGTAGATGTGCCTCATTTCCAGAGCACCGTTCTATGCATGAAATGAGGCAGTGCTCCTATGGAAATAGTAGTATGCATAGTGTAGTTAGAACTGTGTACTAATGGGAGCTGGTCAGGAAGTGCTAAAAAATTTTCAGAAATTTTCTGATGGGGAAAAAAGCTCTGTTTATGTGAGAGGAAGTAGATGGTGACAAAGTAGGTGATGGAGACTGTGCACATGTTCATCAATGAAATTGAAGAAATAGTGCTGTTTGGCCATGATTATGGCAGAGCTGAAGGAGAACAGAACAAATTTGTCATGGATGAAGCTCATATTGTCATTTCTTGTCTTGCTTCTCACTTCTCCTTGTGTGTGAAGGTTAACTATTTACTCTGTAAGTTCTCTGAGGCATGGACTTTGCATTTATATCTGTTTATGAAGTGCCCAACATACCTGTGGCTCTTTACTCATACATTTTATTTAAGGTCTGGGTTTTGTCTCAGTATTGTCTACTGATACGTACAAATATCATCATCATAGTCAAATGATCTGCTCCTTGTTTATTTTACTGTCACATATTTTTATATTGAAAAATCAAGTTTTTACTAGTGTTTACCTCAGTTTGCATAGTAGAGACAATACAGTTCTAACTTTTTGAGCAGTATTCTCTTCCTTAGTCATGCATCAGTAACCATATTGTTTAATTAAAGTTCCCATTATATAAAGTTTCATTCTTGAAGACTTTTTAGCAAGACAACCTTAAATTTGACTTTCAGATTCGAGGCAGAGCTTATGTGGGTTAGTGTTTAAAAAAATAATTAAAAATACTTGTAATTTCAACAGTTTTGATTTGGCCATCACTGAGAAATCATAAATATGGATCCCTATAATACCACATCTAAAGAATCATTTTTGAGAGGGAAATTACTCTTTAAGGAAACAAAATAATTAATGGCATTGTGACTTAAAGTAAGGAAAGGCCAACCTTTGCTATGGCTGGAAGCCATATATAAATAAGTAATAAGAGGTACTTGTGGCACCTTAGAGACTAACCAGTTTATTTGAGCATAAGCTTTCGTGTACTTTTTTCTAAGCACCGAATATTTTTCCCCTTATTCGTGATGAGGAGACTCAGTGGCTGTTAACGTAACAGACTCTTCCCTTGAAATTTCTTCACCTGGTGTGTAGGATCCATTTTTCAGTTAGAATTAAATGATAATTTAATGTATTTTTTTTTCTTTAACATCTTTAGGGTGGAGAGCACTGTTACTATCATGGAAACATCAGAGGTGTCCAGAACTCCAAAGCTGCCCTTTCAACATGTAATGGACTTAAGTGAGTGCAAATCTTCATTCCTCCAAAGAGACTATATTAACTGCTTGCTAGTCTTGGATTCCTGTTCTTGGGTCTCATCTCTTGGCATGAGACAGACTGAAATTCTCCAAGCTTTCAAATTTTTGGCATTCTGAGGTACAGGCAGACCAGTCTTGTTTTAAGAATATTGGCTACTATCTAAATGACTCCTCTAAAGTATTCTCTGTCAACTCCTTGATGACCATGCTCAGCTAAGGAGTTTCTGATTGGCACTGCCATTTTTTAAACTGCTTATATCCTCTGCCCTGTCTATGGATTTTATCTTTTGGTTGATGGCTTCTCTGTATCTTTTGATTTTTTTTTCTGTTCCCTTTAGTTCTTCAGTGTTCGGCAGTTTTTTCCTCAAGACAGGTTCAGGACTGTAATAGTAGAAATGTTCTATGTCAGGAGTGAGGTGCATTGGCAAGACAAAGTGGGGAAGCCTGTACAGTACAGAGCCTACCTTCTGTATACCTGGCTTTAACCACTGCTATTAATTCATTTTTTAAGCACTAGAGATACTAGAAATTTTTGGTGCTGTCTAGAGAAACCCTTGCAGATTGTAAATACCTAGAAATAAATTGATCAAGGTGGCTGATTAAAATAAATAAGAGGTCAGAAATATGAACAAAAATCAGACTTCAGCTCTTCACATTACTACAGTAGTTCTCAAACTGTGGATTGGGACTCCAAAGTGGGTCGCAACCCCGTTCTAATAGGGTTGCCAGGGCTGGCGTTGAACTTGTTGGGCCCGGGGCTGAAGCCAAAGTCAGAGCCCTACCACCCAGGGCTGAAGCTGAAGGTGGTGGGGCTTGGGCTTTGGTCCCCCTGCCTGGGGCAGTGGGGCTCGGGCTTTGGTCCCCCTTCCTGGGGTCATGCAGTAATTTTTGTTGTCATAAAGGGGTCGTGGTGCAATGAAGTTTGAGAAACCCTGCATTACTATGATTCCAGTATACAGTCATACCAGGAATTATAGTTTTGAAAAATCAGTCTTTTGATTGTTATTTTTTATGTAAGTAAATAATGTAAGATAGTATATGGTCAACAGCTCTTTGTTGATTATGTGTATATAACTCAGCTGTGTTTGTTGTCTTCTGCATATTAATTGGTGTTTTAGGAACGACCAAGATCAAATCTTGACTCTTTCCATTGTTGTGTCAAGTATTCTATTACTAAGGATCCTGTCTAGCACAAAATTGATTTTGCAGATGTGCATTACTACTATATTTTGCCAGTTACAACTGGAAATTTTTATGATGGCTTGTTCACTAGTTTTAAATAGTACAATTGGATTTATTTGACCAAAGACCATTTGTTGGATTAAAATTATTCCCTAGTACTTGTATTGGTCCTAAATCTCTTCCTTTTTCTTTCTAATGTTCCAGTGGCATGTTTGAAGATAGCACATATGAGTACTTCATAGAACCAATGGATCTGACCCACAGTGCAGTAAGTTTATACTGATTTGTAATATTTTTGGTTTTGTTTATTACAGAGATGCCTAAATGTCAGTATGTTTCTGACAAGTAACTTTCAAATCTGAATTATTAAAGATTTATTTTTAATTCCATTTTTTAACTTGAATTTTCTAATCTTAAATTCACTTTAGATTTGGGAATAGGCCATTCATGTTGGTGGCTTTTAAGGGCTTATTCCCATGGTGAATGATTTGTGGACTATAAAAGTGTTTACCAATTTCCTCTACTTTTTGAGCTAGTTGATCCTATCATTGACTTGGTGAAAACCTATGTTTTGAAGCTGAGGTCAGGCACTCTATATAGAGTGTTGCAGCTGGATAGTTGTCGCAGAGGATTGTAGTGCCTGTATGCAATGGCTCTGATACAAATAGATGAATAAATTGAGTTAGGGTTTAGGAATATATTTACCCAAATATCTTCTTCACACTCTGAGCCTGGTCTACTTAACTTGTGGCTCTCTTTAAGTATAGTATGTATGTACTGTTGCTCCTGAAGGCATTGATGTAAACAGAGCTGTTTACAAAGGCTAGTTTACAAATTTCAGCACAGTAGTCCAGGAATGTTTCTCCTGTGGGATACTTCTGCACTTGCATTTGATTTCCAAGAGACATTTTTGGGTTTTGGGTATCCAAGAGACATCAAGATGAGGATTTTCAGGCTCTGTATCTTGCCTGGCACCTCATCAATGCATGATAAATTACACAAAATGCTGTAATTTTTGTTGGTTTCTTTTGAAACCTCTCTTGGTAACAGTAAACATGACAACAGAGTCCCGCAAAGGAACTGCAAGATCATTAGTCTGTGTGTGATAAGTAATACTTTCAGAGAATACTGTATAGGATAATACATTCTTTGAATATCTTTTGAATGATCTGTTGTGACTTCCAGCCCAAAGATGCTTCAGATAATGTTAATCCTAGTTGGAATGATAGTCCACTGGAAAATAATTTAGGAACCATTTAGTGTGGCAGCTGGAGCAAGACTCCTTGTTACAAAGCTACATACTGTACTTAAATGTAACCTATATATGACACTGGCTTTTGGTTGAAAACTGACCGTATGTTGAGCTGTAGCTCACGAAAGCTTATGCTCAAATAAATTGGTTAGTCTCTAAGGTGCCACAAGTACTCCTTTTCTTTTTGCGAATACAGACTAACACGGCTGTTACTCTGAAACCTGTCATTGTGGATCTGGTAACCCCTCCTTAATTAGGAGACATACAATTAGGATATTCTTCGACTAGGACAGTAAAATTTCACTTTTTATGCTGACACTGCAATACAGAGCTTGAGGCAATAGAAAGAAATAATTAGGGTTATTTTTAGACTTTGTAAAATAACTGTAATTTATGGAAGATTTTAAAATATCTCCTCTGCCACCTCTGTGTGTCCAGGTGGAAGTTTTAAAGAGCATAGAGGATAGTTTGAGGCAAGGGTATTGTTCTCAATAAAACTACTTTCTTTTACTGACCAAAATAAAATGCCTGTAGGGAGATTTTCAGAGCCATAAATGGCAGTGAGGCACCCAACTTGAAAGTCAGTGCAAGTTAGGCACCTGATCGCCCGCTTCGGGCATAATACCTGAGATAGATGTCCACACCAGTTATTTGATTGCGAGTGTTGCTCTCATTGTTTTGTTGATTAAGTCCTTTGGGATACCTTAAGAATGGAAGGCAGTATATGAAACTAAATCATATTTACTGTACATGTGCAGTTTGAATTTTTGAATATTTTACTTCCATGTTTTATACAAATCTCTCAGGAGTTACACAAAAATAGCATTCTGTCTTTTCAAAAGCATTGTTTGCCTTGACAAGGTCAAGTGATGGAATGACAAGGGAGAGGAGACCGAGATCCATGAGGCATGTATTAAACTGTGAGATTTATCAGATTTATCATTTTAAAAGGAGAAAACTTCAAAATACTTATTCTTTTTTGTCCTATATATAGATTTATGGCACTGTGCATTAATTATGTTGAAAGAGACATAAATCTTACTGTTTTTTCTGTTAAGTTTCAATACAATTAAGTAGCTAGTCTTTGTGATTTATAATAGGCATATCTTTATTTTTGACCAGGTGCAGGAAGACTGTATCTAGGTATATGTATGTATGCAGAGGGTAGAATTTGGATTCTTGAGATAATACTGCCTACTCTATTAATGTCTTCTCTCTGAGGATCTCAAAGAGATTTATAACCAATGAATTAATCCTTATGACACCATTTGTAATGTAGGTGATAAATATTGTCTGTGTTTTAGATTAGGAAACTGAGGCAGAGCAGCCAAGTGATTCACCACACAGCCAGTCAATAGCTGAGACAGGATTAGACATAGAGGCAAGAAGCCTGATCCACCAATCCTAATGAGAGACTTGTCTCACCTCTTCTGGCCCTGGAGAAAGATAAGCATTGTTAATCAGGAGCTTGTAACCTGCTCTGGGAGAGAGTTTTCCAAATAAGGCCTTCTACCATTGAAGAGTACATCATACTAAATTGTGCAGGCTTTCATGTTTGGATTAATATTCTAAGAATCTAATGCTTAGAAGTTATCCAGGTAAAGTATACATAGCACCAATGTAAAGATGTTACATTTATGTCAGTGGATATTGCTATTTCCTTTCAGGAAAAAGAACAAATAAGATATCAATCTACTGTAATAAGTGCATCTTTCTTTTCATTTGGCATTGCTAATAAGTTGAAAATGTTTTTATACATTCTATTTTTTTAGAAAAGCACAGGCAGGCCACACATCATCCAGAGGACTTTGGGAACACAAACCTTGAGGCAAATGAAGAATGCTGGTATGTATTGGTTACATTATGTTTTCAGTAACAAAAATAATTTTAGTTGTAATGTAAATAGTTTGAGGTTCAGGTTAATTGAGCCTATGTTAAACTGTTGAACTATTAGAAGAATAAGAAAAAAGACCATTATCAAGTTGACTTCTGTATACCAAGTTTATTATCATCACATTGAATTTCAGAAATGTTAAAATTGAACTGAAATGTTTTTACCTATCAAGACCTGTGTTTAGGTTCTTCTGGCAGAGAATAGCTGTTGGTTTCATCACTAGTACTTTAATAAGCTGCTATTTTTTGGATGCTAGTGATTGTCATCAACACATGAAAGAGAAAAAGCAAAACTGTATGGTCAGGTCTTAGCCTCTTTATGTCCCTTTTTAGTGCATGTTTAATTTGTAATTTTAAATCTATTCACGTACTTTGTTATTTGTATGGGATCCTTAAAAGTTATGAATTTTAAAGAATGCTTTGCAATTCACCTTTAAAAGGGAATATTTGTGAATTAGGTGTTCTTAGTCCATTTCCCACTGGGTAAGTGTCCACATCACAATGATTTCTATAATGTTTTATCGAATGTTCCTAGAATTTCACTAAATTTTTTAACTTTTGAAATTTTCCATCTTTTCATTTAGATACAGAGAGATATTAATTAATCTCACTGTAAACAGTTTCCATGGTTACAAGGGTTTAAACTGCATGTGCTCCAGTATAAATGCTAAATTATTTAAGTTTTGTTAATTTTATTTTCTTCAGAGACCGAATCTAGTTCTGAGTGGTCCTTCCTGTCTGAGTTACAGTGGCTCAGGAAAAGGAGAAGAAAGAGGGCCGTGAGTGTAAGTGTGACACCAAGTTAAGACCTATGCAGTGCTGCATAAATTTCCAAATTCTTTAATTATAAGTGAGCATTGTTTCTTAGAAAACAAAATCCTTTGGATGTTTGAACCAAAGTTTAAAATATCTGTCTTTCATATTTTTATAATACAGTACAGTTTTCCACCAAATGACACCATTATGTTTGAACCTGAATGTACAAAATAAAATAGATATAGTTTATAGAGTGACAGCAATACCGTGTACAGTTTGAACAGAAATTTGATAGTGAAAGTGTGATTAAAATTTCAATGATCATTAAGGCCTGATACTACTGTGGACCGAGTACAACCCTGACTACTATATAGATGCCCTCTCCTATGGTCACATGGCTCATTAAGTAGTATGGACAAAGCCAAAAGTAATAAATGTGTGATCCAAAATTGGGTTGGTTAGAAAAAAAGATACGGACAGTTCTCACAGTCTGCAGACACAATACACATTATAACTAGTTTAGGTACATCAGTATGGACTTCATTTTGTCTACATACATGTGCTTGTGGCTTGTTTTAGCTTTCATTAATATTAATTTGTACCCATTTGTCTGTATGAGATCAGCTTTCTCCTCGGAATATACAGCACAATGTGTGGGGTTTCAAACCCTACCATTTTTAAAAAATCACTTTTTTCCTAGGTCTAGTAAATATTGCAATGGAGCAAGGGGGACGTTGTTTTCTGGGTCTTTCTAAACACTAAGTTCTATGGAAACAATAGCCTTTTCTCTAAACTTTGGCCAAAGAGGTTTGGATCTGAATTTATTCTAAATGAAATGATCCGGATCCTCAGCTGATGTAAATCCATGTAACTCCATTGAAGTTAATGGAGCTATGTCAATTTACACTAGTTGAAGAGCTTTCTCAATTCTGGCAAACTTATTCACTTCGAATAACATGTATGTGAGTAGTCCCATTGAAGCCAGTGAGGGATACAAACTTGGCTCTCCCACTGCTACTAGATACCTAGGCCAGCTGCAGAATTATTTTTAAAAATTACCATCACACTGTCATTTCTCACAATGTATATTTAAATCCAACAGGCATCTCGTGGTATATTTGAAGAGATGAAATATCTGGAGCTCATGATTGTCAATGACCATAAAATGGTAAGGATATAGATTCAGTGGCAATCTTCCTTGTGATCTGATTCAGAGGCTGGTCCATACCTGTCTGTCTAAGTTTCTATATCTGAGTACCTCACTCTTTGGCACAGATTTTTGGGTGTGGAGAGAGGATCTATACCCCTTCTTGGTAGCAAGATAAGGTAGCTTTGTGCAATGAGGAAAATAAATTACATCCTTTTAAGGGGTGTAGAAATGTACTTCTCCCGCAGAGCAAGACAGGAATAGGGTGACGTGCTTCTGAGGAGTGTCTCTGAGGTGCTGTACCCCTGGGGATACCTAGTGCTAAGCTGAAAGACACTGTGTGGCCCATAGTAGTGAATAATAATACGTAGCATTTTAGACAGCACTTTGAATACTTAAAGTACTTTACAAACATTACCAAATTAATATATATTATGTATATTAGTGTTTTAATATGTATTATTAGTATTGTATATACGTGTGTGTGTGTGTGTGTGTAGATAGATAAGATCTATGTTAACATATATTTAACTACGTTAATTGGCAGTACTGTTAGAATTTAAAAATTAAATTCCATCTTTTAAGGATTAAAGAAACAGGCTGAGACCGGTAGGACACAATTTAGAGTAAAAAGCTTTGATATATGGGCAGTAAGATATGCATGTGAGGCTATTCTCTTTTTTTTTCCTCTTCCTGGTAAATCCATGCTTATAAATAGGCAGGGTAGTGAAATAAACAATAAATCTTGCCATTGGATTAAGCAAGATATGTTACATTTACAAAGAATTCTGCTCTGATTTCTTCTTTTCCTTTAGGAGATATTAAAGAAACTAGATCAGCTGACATTTGCTATTTAAATGTTACTGCTTTCATTAATTGTGCCAAGTAAGATAGGGTTATCAAAATGTCAGCACCCTGCCTGTTCAGCAGATTAAATCAGAAAGGCGGTGCCTGGGGAGTAGTATAGAAGTACTAGGTCTCTCAACAGATGTTGTGGTGTGCCTGGGGAAATTCCCCAATTCTCAGGTTACCTATGGGTTGAATAGGCCATGCCCCCGACTACCACATGGGGCCACAAAACCTGCCCATCTACTCCCTACACCGGCACATTATGTAGTGGAATTCCTGTAGCCTCAAGACTATGGAGTTTTCCCCTTAACTTTGGTCCTGCTCCATGTTGTTCAGTAGGGGGGCTTGATTTGCGCCTCAGCGTTCTGTAAAATTTAGATGTTTAGAAGGGAACAAGCCTGCAGACTTTTTTTACAAGAATGTATTGAAAATTTCTGTTGACCTCATTTGCAAGCTCAAATTATTTATCCCGTTTATTTTTTTAGTGTTACATGTCTACAGTATATGTGCCTGTAGGTACATATCTTTTCAAGCACTTAGGTTTCAGAAAAAATGAGCAGCAAGTACCTGTTTAAGTGTTATTTTTTAAAAAGCATTGGATAATAACTCAGTAATTTTTTCAATAATACAAGACCGGCCTATCGAAGTGCCGCCTGTTGGTAGCAAGAGCCTAACCGAAATATCTGAGTGCCAAAACCATGTGCTTAGGCCTATAACGTGGACTAAGGGTACGAGTATGCTGCCAATCTCTCGCTCTCTCCCTTGTCTTTCTCTCTCTCTTTGTCCCGTCTCCCCATTTAACACAAACAGTAGAATGTCCGAATTGTCTCCTACCAGATGTTTCTTAATTCTTTAGATGCACTACAAACTCTTGTTCTTTGACTAGAAAAATATATTTAAGACCGTGAAGATGTGCAATACAGCTAAAGGGAAAATTTCACTCTCTGATACACCCTGCAGAATTTTTTGTTTGTAGAGTAGATTGTAGAAGTAGCTCTAAAAGAAGCATTTGTGAATGTACAATATTTACCCTTTAAATTTTAAAGGTTAGAATATGTAACCCGTGCATTGGAGAACACTTAATCCATGTGAGTAATTTCCATGATGCCAATTCATAGATTCTTTACTATATTCTTAGATTTTTAAGGCCAGAAGAAACTGTTGCAATCATCTTGTTTGACAACCTGAATAATAAGAACGTAAGAATGGCTATACTGGGTCAGACCACATGTCCATCTAGCACATTATCCCGTTTCTGACAGTGGCCAGTGCTAGATGCTTCAGAGGGAATGAACAGAACAGGGCAGTTATCAAGTGATCCATCCCTTGTCATCCAGTCCAGCTTCTGGCATTCAGAGGTTTAGGGACACCCAGAGCACAGGGTAGTAACCGTGACCATCTTGGCTAATAGGCATTGATGGACCTATCCTCCATGAGATTATCTAATTCTTTTTTGAATCCATTTATACTTTTGGCCTTTGTTACATTCCTTTCAACAAGTTCCACAGGTTTATTGTGTATTTGTTTTAAACCTGCTGCCTCTTAATTTCATTAGGTGACCCCTGGCCTTGGTGCACAGCACATCACTGGCACCAGCCTTAGCCCTGCACTGCTCCTTTTCACCAGTGCCAAAGAAGCGGCAGAAGATGCGGAGTCCTTCTGTACTGAGGACAGAGGGGCCACGGGCAAAGGACCTCTATCAGGCCATGCGCCCGCATTGGGGCTTTCCGGGGTGCCGCTGAGGTTGGACCTCCCAGCCCGGCTCAGGACCTGCCCCCCACTCCAGGCAGCGACAGGGGCTCCCAGCCTATCATGGGGCCTTCAGTGCCCAAACCTGTCCCAACAGCTAAAGAGCAAAGCCAACCGGTGCTGCATGTGCCACACCAGGTGACCAAAGCGGCTCCACCCCTGGCACCGAAGGTGCAGCATAGCCTGGCAGAACTCTCCTGGTTGCCAAACCACAGACACAGGCCCCTATCGCCATGACCTCGGACCACTGCACCGTGCCCCAGCTCTCCGAGATCTCCACCTACTAGGCGTGGGACTCCAGATTTGAGGCACCGTTCCCCGTACCAACGGTACCGGCAATCCTCCAGCTAAAGTTCACCACGGTGCCAGTCACCCTCTCCCAGGCAGTCTCCCAGGCGTCGGTCGCTGTCCTGGAGGGGTGGTTCAGGATCTCGGCATCGGTCTTGTTCGCCCCAGTACTGTTCCTTGGGCAGGCAGTGCAACTCACCATCATCCCGCCGCTCGTTCTCCAGGGTCAGCAAACAGACCCAGGCCTCAACAGCCCCGCCATGGTCACCAGAGACTTCAGACTTCAGCCCATCGCTGAGAAGGGGTAGCTCCCCACCAATGAGGGAGACTGAGGCAGCACCAGCCACGATACCGATGCAGCAGGGACAGTGGGCCCCCCAGTGGTCATACTGGAACCCATGGGGGTGCCGGTGATGCCGGTCCAATACTCCCAGTCCTCCCTGGCCACATCGGGCAAGCCCGCCATAGCACTGCCGGCACCACAGTTGGGACGCGGTACCAAGGCAGAGGCCAAGGCAGCGCACTGCATCCCGGCACCGAGGGAACCTTCCCCTGCGAAAGAAGGGGACGACGCCCTCTCTCGGATGGTAAAATCTTCGTCGTCATCCCCGGACGAGGCAGTCGCCAGGACACCGCACCCTAGCAGTCCCCCAGACGATTTTAAGGCACACCAGGCCCTTCTTAAATGGGTGGCAGAGAACCTTGGCCTGCAAATTGAGGAGGTCGCTGAGGAGGCTGATGACCTCTTCAACGTCATCTTGGCCACCACCCCAGCACAGGTTTCATTGCCCATCCACCCTGCGGTCCTCAAGATAGCCAAATCATTGAGGCAATCTCCCTCCTGTATTCTGCTGACTTCCAAGAAGGCGGAAAAGAAACATTGTGTCCCTGCAGAGGGCTTTGAGTATCTATACACTCATCCCACAGTGGCATCACTGGTTGTGTCCGCAGTGAACAAGAGGGACAGGCAGGGACAGGTTAGTGGGACACCGAAAAATAAAGACGCTAAGAGGCTGGAGTTGTTTGGCTGAAAGGCTCATTCAACGGCCAGCTTGCAGTTCCAAGTGTCTAATCACTAGGCCTTGCTGGGACGTTATACCTTCAACCTGTGGGATTCCTTCAGTAAGTTCACGGAGGCCCTTCCGCAGGACCATGCCCAAGAGTTCACTGTGTTAGTGAGCGAAGGCACAGCAGTGGCCAGGGGAGTCCTCCAGATGGCCTGGGATGTGACGGACTTGGCGGCAACAGTGATCGAGTCAGCAGTGGCCATGAAACACAGCTCGTGGTTGCAGGCCTCTGGGCTGTCCCCACAGATGCAGGCCACAATCCAGGACCTCCCCATTGAGGGTACAGGGCTCTTTTCTGAGCTAACTGACTCAAGGCTCCATTGGCTTAAGGACTCCTGAGCCACCCTCCACTTCTTGGGCCTGCATACCCCTCAGCATTCAGGAAGCCATTCCGTCCTCCTTTGCCACAGTCTAGGTCCTGGGGGGCTTCCAGGTCAGGCTCCTACAGGAGGAAGGAGAAGGACAGGGGGCCTAAGAGACAGTATCCATCACCTTCCCATCCAGTGGCGCAGCCTGACCCTCCCAAAAATTAGGGAGGCCAGAAGCAGCTGTTTTGAGGGTACGCCCAGGGATGGCGGCCCAGCCAATGTACTGGATCCATCCCCTTCCTTCTTCAAATGCCTCCACCCTTTCCGGTCGTCTTGGTCCCACATCACATCGGACCGCTAGGTACTCGGTACCATTTCTTCAGGTTACATCTTGCAATTTATAGCCGACCATCCCTCGCATCTCCCTGCCCCGTTCCTCTTCAGGGATCCTTCTCATGAGCAACTCCTCGTTCAGGAGGTCAAAAACCTCCTGAGTCTTGCGGTAGTGGAAGAGGTTTCTTGGAACATGGAAGGCAGATGATTCTACTCCTGCTACTTCCTAATTCCGAAGGCAAAAGGGGGCCTCAGACCTATCCTGGACCTGCGTCGCCTCAACACGTCTCTCAAGAAGTTGAAGTAGTTCTTCAAGGAGTGTCCCAGTGAGTGCTCCACCTTAGGTGTCTTGATGCCCTACGCTTGTAATCAGAGATTTGTAGTAGCAGTGCCCAGGTTGGCCATGCATGTGTGGCAGCTGTCTTGT